GAGAGTGTATAGATGACGCCAGTTGCATGGAAAGCGCCTGGCACTCTTGGCACTCCTATGCCGATGAGAGTATCCAGCGCCACTTGGCCATGCGAACACTGAAGCCGAGAATAAAGCAGACCACGAAGCCTTGGTTCACTGCCCAGCACAAGCGAATGCACCGGAACAAAAACCATATTTTCAAATTAGCCCAGAGAACGATAGCGCTGGAAGACTGGATAGCGTACAAGATGGTTAGAAATGATCTTAAAAAACAGGTTTAAACGCAGCAAGTCCCTCTATTTCGAAGAGCTTTGCTCGCGTATTGATAGCGACAAAACTGTTACAAATGGTTGGCCGAGGCCAAGAAAATTGCCCAGATCAGCAAGAAGCGAGCGACCATCCCGACCCTGGTTGATGATTGTGGAGATGTGGCTTGTGATTCTTCTAAAGCAGAAGCACTGGCCCATTGCTTCAAAATCCAGTTATCCCCATATCCGTCATTTGACCCGAGTGCTACCACCCTACCGCCAGCACAATTTACAACAGATCTCCAGTTTCAATTGCCAAACATAACCCAGCACGAAGTCTTCCGCAAGCTGCGCATTCTGCCCAAGCACAAGTCTGTGGGCGGGGATATCACGAACGTAATAATGAGAGAAGTGGAACCCATGATAACGCAGTCCCTGTGCCACTTCTTCAACACTAGTCTCCGCCTCGGGCAGCTACCAAGTGACTGGAAGTTGGCTACAGTCATACCTATCTACAAAGAGAATGGCAAACCTGCGGAGCCAGCTAGCTACAGGCCTATCTCCCTGCTGCCGGCCATAGCTAAGATTCTGGACGCCATCATTGCGGAGCACCTCACCAGCTTCCTCAATAGGCAGGGATTAATTACCGACCACCAGTATGGCTTTGTCTCCTGCAAGTCGACACTCGATTAGCTAATAATATTATTGTCCTGTCTTCAAGAGCGGCTAAAGCACTCGACAAGCGCACTGAGTACCACGCTCTATTCTTGGATTTCGCGAAAGCGTTTGACAAGGTAAACACACTGTTCTTCTCCGTCAGCTCGCTACTATCATATCCCCTGAAGCCGTTTCTTGGTTCACCAACTACCTCAGAGACCGTTCCTTCTGTGTCAAAGTGTTTCTCTCTGCCAAGTCGCAGACCCACCCAGTTTCTGCAGGCATTCCCCAGGGATCTCACCTTGGCCCCATTCTTTTCATTCTCTACATTAATGCCCTTCCTCGCACCATATCGTCTGATGTCACTACTGATGTGCTCTTATTAGCCGATGACACTACTCTTGGGAGAGCAACTGGAGGACCTAACAAACAACAAAATTTGTGATTGTCGTTCTAGTTATACTGATGATTGTTTTTCCGTTTGGTCTCGTTCACGTAGTCAAACGTATTTGCGTGTATTGGAGTCTATCTACATCATTACCACCAAACCGATCTTGTGTAGGCAGAAAAATAATTTGTTTACATTGAAATTGTTTGAGAATTTTGGATCAGTAGTTCTCGTTTTTGGTTGCATGGTTACTTTCTAGTGGTGAATTTATCTCATCTGCTGTCACCTGATATCGTTGATTGGTGTAATTTTCTTTCAGCTCTCATTGCTCGCGCTAGATCCGGAACGGACTCAATATTCACTTTCCCTCTTGGTATTTTAATTAGAAAACATATGTCACAGTGAGACTACCATGTGTTTTATTCCGAGCCAAAATTTAATGGCTCCGCGATGACCAAAAGCGCCATACCAAGCAGGTGAGTTTTTGACGTGTTGCTTCTCACTGCGACTTAAGGTAGCAGCCTGGTCCTAAATTTCATATGGCATTCAATTGACCGTAACTTTGGTGTCTCTCAATGGATGTGAGTGAAATTGGCACCAGACACTCCTGCCACTATGCTGGCCCTCTGGACATGATTTAAAAGTTCTTGCGCCTCACTGACAGGCTTTACAGGCCGGAAAAACTGAAAATTCCGGCATAGTGCCACGGTTGGCAAGCCACCCAGGAGCCAAACAATTACATTTACAATTTTTTCACATTTTCTAGCCAATTCTGTCCGTGCGCAGGATCCAAACCTAAAAAACATCCAGAAGCAGCCATGGGTGGTGGGGTAGGGCCCCTCAACGTGGCCCTGGTGTCACAACGGCAGGAGTGGGCGTTCTCTCACAGGCTCCCACAGACCCAAGTCAATTTTTGAATTTTTTTAGGTTCAGGGCGTGCTACGAGGTCGTACCTTTTATACAACATCCAGTGCTCGGACCTCCACAGCAAGCCATTTCCACACCACTTCAAACCGAATCCAGGATACCCTCCAAAATCGGCAAAGACTACCACTCACGTTCCACTACTGCCTAGTACTGAATCCTACTTAACTTCTTGACAGGACTCAAACTTGCCAAAGTCACTAAATCAACGTCAACTACAATAATCAAGCCACATACCCTATTTTACCGGTTGTAAGTCGACCCCGGTTATTAGTCGGCCCCCCTACCTGGAGGTCTCAATTCTGCGTTTTAAAGTTTTCACCCAAAGAAGCACTACTAACCACCTCCTGCTACTAAGACCTCAACAAATCATGTAAACATTCCTTATTGGAGGATAGAACGTCCCAATCCTTGAAAAAGGCCAATAAACTGGCAAAAATGTGTAAACATGGTGCACTCGTGCATGCAGTGCAGGTCTTGTTTTGTAAGATACTGATAGTTCCCGGTTATAAGTCGAATCCCGGTTGTAAGTCGACCCCCACCCTTTCTCCTTCTATTTTAAGTCGTAAAAGGTCGACTTACAACCAGAAAAAACAGTATCTGCAACGTCACGAGGGTGCTGGCAAAAGTCCTGCAGCCCAATACTTGGTATTTTAACCCTTTGCCGGTCTAACTCCATGTATGTGAGTGGTGGTCACGCAAATACATGTACCGTAGTTCCGCGCATATAAGCCCATGGGCCTATATCCTGATATAAGCCCACCTCCGTTTATAGGCCCATGGGCTAATATACAGACCCAAACACCGTTACGAAATGTCAGTGCAGACTACATTACCCAGTACCGGTACCTATCGTAGGCAGACAACCGCGCAGAGACTTGTACCTTTTCGCGTGCCAGCTGCCTTCAAAATTGGAATATAGGCCCAGGGCTAAAAAACGAACCATTATTACTGATTTATTTTCCCGGAAAATGCATTATTTCGTATGTCACTAGCCCATGGGCTTATATGCGCAGAACTACGGTACACACAACCAGCAATAACTCAAGAACCATGTGATGTCGGTATGAGTAAACCAGATATTTTCAAAATCTGTATGCCTGAACGCGTCCAGAAAATTCAAATATGACTAGGTCCAGGCAAGGATAGGGCCCATGGTAGCCCTTTAAGTTGAGAGAAAATACAATTGCAAATGAAATACACGAATATCACAGCACGAAGGGCATACCAAGTTCGTGATGGAGCTGAAGTCGTACGATAAACAAAAAGGTAAGGGCTACGTCTTTACAAGAAATGTAGGCTCTCTACAATACCGCCAATGAACACCAATACCTCGCCATCGGCAATACGCCAGCAGCAGCAATTCCCATTCCACGATATCGCAGCTTCGGTTTGTTCATCTCAGGGCTGCTCGCGTCAGATTCACTCTCGCTCAGATGAGCACTCAGGCGCGAGCTTTCGCATGCCGTAATTCTCACGGCCAGGCGAATCAGCTGATCGCACCTGACGAGTCCTTGTGACAGTCGCTGTCGCCGTGTCGGCAGCAAGAAGGCTTCCTCTCTGTTTGGAGAATTTTGTTTCTTCATTCATGGACGATATATTTTTGAACTAGCCGGACTCAACGGAGCTCTTTTTCTCCACACACTACACTGCAAAACCTCCCGGGTGATCCAGCCTGGACTGGTGGTGTTACTGCTCTCAGAACGCTTGTCAATGCACGCATGGCGGACGGTCGTCTTTTCCAATTTCAACAAACTTCAGTCGATGGATACGGCAAAAATTTGTATGGTAAGCATGGTTGTTTTGTACATCGTCAGAAAGCCTTGGACCTCAGCTACGCGTAGAGCGCCATTTAAGCTGTCTCCTAGCAACAAGACCCCAAAAAATGATGGCCAAACGCACCGATACTATAGTATTGGTTCCCTTATGGTAGACCGGTAAAGGGTTAATGTGATTTTTTGGACTTTTTTGGACTTGGAGCAAAATTCTGCACACTTTCGCGTGTTTCCATGATACGACAAGTTGCGCACGGTCTGCTCACATTCAAATACAGTGCTGCCAACAAATGACAGCGTGAAAGAAAAAAATCTTTCCTTGCAAGGGCACATTTTCGGCCATAACTCTTGAACGGCTGGTCGCACCTAGACAAAATTTCAGAGAGCAGCTGTTAATGCTCTTTCAACTGATGTAGCGCTCGATATGAATTAACAAATTCGATTTTTCAGGGATTTTACGACCAGACTGCCACAGTTTTACGTCTTTCGAAAAATCAACTTCTTGTCGCAGGTAAACAGTGGATCGCCTCTCTCCAATAAAGCACCTTATACCAATGAAAACCTATGGAAGAACACACAAGGCTTATTGTTACTCTGTACTAGCCGTCGAGAAGCGATAGCAATTACCCAATTTCAGAACTCAGAGTGAGTTTGACATGCACTCTAAAACTTTTCCGGTTTGGAGCCACCTCTGATTTGAAGCGAAAAATTGGGCAACTTGGAGGCAATGGGCCAATGCAAAGGAGTGGCTCAGTTCGATTGACTCTGGCCTCAGAGCAAACTTTAACATGCCAGTTTCCTTCCACAAACATATTTCGAGTGAACTATCCACGCTGATGATCGGTTTGGATCTTTACAAATTTGGCTTTCAAACCATTCCGGTATCGAACCTTCCCCTTTTAAATAGGTCAGTGTCATGCAATGTTATCGCATGAGGTGATTGTTTAGTAGCTGGTGGTGTAAGTGGGCATTATAGCATGACTTGTAGTTCCTTGGTCCTTTTTCTATTCTCTCTAAACTAAGCACATCCTTTTAAGATAAGGAGCAGTTCACTGAAACTACTACTTACATTATCGCGGCTATTAAGATTCAAATTAGCAGCACACAACAACTTCAGACACTCCAAGTGTTTCTGAAGAGTGGCAGCATGAATTGCATTCCGGCGCTGTAGACAAGCAAACAGAGGGAAGGAACTTTGAAAGGTAATAAGTGATCATAAGATCCTCCTAAAAAAAGGGCAGCAAGGATACATGAAACATAGAACATTCACGGTTCTGCCGAGTTTTCCGCATTCCTAGGAACGCGGCCACCCTCTACAAACAAGGCGCAGATTCAGCTCCTAAGCAGTGGGAGGTGAGTAGATCAGACCTGCCACGAAGTGGTCAAAGACTGAAATCCCATTAACTGCCTTCATGTTTCCCTCGTGCCAGGCCACGAGTTCCCAATTAACCCATTGAACGCGGATGACGTCTATAGACGTCATTGAAAATGCCCCCCATGCGCTGATTACGTCTATAGACGTCATGGGATATACATGTATAGTGATTTCTGGCACTGTCTGGTGTGTAAAAGCAATGTTAGTCAGTTGCATCATGATCCTGCCTCTTGTACGATAGGTCGTTGGTATGAATCCCGCTTGGAAACACTATGCGTCCATTTTTCTTCTCTTTTCAGCGATCTTTCGCCTGCAATTTCACGCATTTGGCGTATTTCACGCAATTTCAGCAAACTTGCGTCCCCTATCGTGATGCGCTATTTTTTTTGGGGACTGTATCGATTCTGTCACCCTGTGGTTGATAGTCTTGGCAATCATTTCCAAAATATTTGAGGACCCCAGTTGCAAGAACCCTGGAGTTTTAGAACTGGCTATTTGCCCTGTTTTTAGCATTTATATGCAGAGTACCATAGGCAAGGCCCAGTAGCGCTAAATGGGTTCCTTATGGGCAGCAGCACGGCTGGAAAAATCATTCCACTTCCAAGCAGGACTTGCCCTGGTACCATTTCTTTCTCAATCATGGTCTTAGACCATCCCACTATACCTGCCTGCTACTATCGATAGAAAAAAAGTGAACGCATACAAACCACGACACCAGAAGAACAAGCTGAATGAATTTTGTTATGTCGTTCTCATGTGACTACTACCTCAGGCAAGCGAAATGTGGCGCTTTTTCAAAACTAATAGAGAGGTTAAGTTTCACGTAAAATTCTTATGTCCGTGAAATTTAACGTCAAAAATTCAAAAGTCATTTTCAACTTTTTTTACCTGTTTGAAAGTTGACTGTGGGTTGACTATACCGCACGTAGTTTCGTGACGTGGGTTTTTGGAAGTTTCGTTTGGTCATCCCGATCGGATTTGTGTAAGCATCCGTAGTTTTATCGAGATTGTTGGAAGATTTGATATTAAAAATTGTGCTGAGAAATTCTGCTGTTCAAACAAAACCCAAATCTTGCCACGGCAATATTTCACGTCATGTCACACGTGTAACTTAACCTCTAAAATGTACATACAACATGAAATTTTCACCGCGCTTTGAAAAAAGTCAAAAAACGTGTAACTTAACCTCTCTAATAACTCGAAATAACTCACACTTCTAAATCGAAAAGGATATGTCATCGCTGGGAGGGCCTAATGACATAATATTGCCCCGAGAGGTTAGCCTGAGGGCCGTAGGCCAGAAGGATAACCTCGAGGGGCAATAAGATGCCATAAGGCCCGCAGCAAACATGCGATAACCAATTTATCACAAGGCCCACAGAGCAGATCATTGAGCTGCTGTTGAAACTAGCACAAAAGCCCTCACATTTTGACCACAATGTGTATTGATGTGCTATCATTATCAAAGAGGAAAAATGAAGATATTTCCCCTACACCCTAAGAAATATCTGCAAAGCGAGTGTACTTGTCCATGGAGGGGAGATGATTTGGCTGCGTTCTACAGAAAAGTCGACTGGGAGAGTATTTCTTCTTGGTTGTTTGCAGCGTCCTCCTTCAGCTGATGCTCAATTTTGGAGCTCTGTGCAGGAGCTTGTCCACCACATCCAGGGCTAAGATATTATCTTGCTAGGCGACCTGAACATTGATTCCAATGTAATTCCAATTTTCCCATAGGCCGATGTATCAAAGCTTAAACACGTCGCTACCTCTTCCCCTTAACCTCCAAAAAGGTTTTTTTGCGACAGACACGGACCACCCCTCATCTGCTTCGTCAATTGACTTTATCCTCACAAATTTGGCTACAGTCAGAGACGAAGTAGTGTCTCCCTGGAAGTTCTCCGATCATGATCTGGTTTATGCAGCTTTGGACGTAAAGACCAATATACAACTACCTGCTTACGATGCTACCTTGAAGACCTGCGACCATAGGAACATCAATTTCCCAGAATTGATAGGTCTGCTTGAGCATGCAAACTTGTCTTCGTTCTCGTCTACCATTGTCTATCTAATGCTTGATGAATGGTTGTGGAAATTCAACACCGTTCTACATGTGGTCACGCCGTACAAACAACCTGGTAGACCCACAAGACCGGGCAAGAAGAACTGTCCGTTCCTGATCCCAGAGCTCTTGGCACTCATCCGCCAGAGGAAATCAGCTTTTGGTCGGTATCGCGCCAGTGGCTGCACTGCCACTACATTACAGCGATGTTCTACCTCTCTGAGAACTCTGTGCAACAATATCTACCGTCAACTTAGAAATTTCCATTTCCAGAACGTGTGCCCAAAATATAAAGAGAGCCGTTGTGGTCCATCATCAACCACATCACTAATCGATGTCGTTCCCTCGCCCCACCTGCGGTTGCAGCTGACGAGTCGAACACCTTCTTCCACAAGATAGTGACTGATTCCAACCTCATGGTTTGACATCCCAGATAGAGCGTGCCTCAATCTGCATTTGGTACGTTTGAGCACGTCACTGTAACAGACATCAGGGCAAGGCTTGCCTCCCTTGACAGCAGCAAAGCACCAGAACCGGATTGTCTTCCTCCCAGTATCCTGAAGGCCACATCGAATGTTATCGCTCCTTCTTTATCAGCCATTTTCAATACTTGTCTTCAATCTTCGACTTTCCCTTATCTTATTAAAATCGCTAATATCACTGGATGGCAGTCGTGAGTCAGTCAAGTGTCAAGTCAAGTCGGCAGAATAGCGCGAGCTCGCGTGTGGGAGCAAACCCATTCCAAAAAAATATATAACCCCCGACAGGGTGATCATAACTCCGTTAACGAATCGTGTGGTCGGCCTACCGAGGGCAGGAGCTGTATATGACCAAATGGGTCGGCCTGCTTTGAGCAGGAGTGGTTTATGACCCATGCGAGTTAAATAGTAGTGCGCCAGAGGCCTGTTATGGAGGAGTGCCCGCATCCGTGCATTTCAAAATATGTGGAGTATAGTGTAAGAGTAAGAAATGGGATGAGTAGGGTGGGTCAGAATATGAAAGCTGTCTGCAAGCAAGGAAACTGGAAAAGACAGCAAGCTCTGTTGTGCGCACGGGAAATATGCGCATTCGCAGAGCGTGCGAGCAAGTGATGTCCATGAAACACAGCCGTATGTAGAGAGAGCAAGATCGTGCACACACGTAAATAGGGCCATGTTACCCGTTATAAAGAGCCAATAGCGGAGCAATGGTACGTGACTGGTTAACTCATTCTTTAATTGAACATTTAGCATTCTACTCCATATGCTACAGTATAGAGCAGACACACGCGCGTGCGGGACGCGGCACACCAAGAGAGAAAAGAGTGAGTTTGGAGTAATGGGAATGTAGGGCAGAGTAGCTGGCCTCAATTGAGTGCGCGTTAACGAATCATGTGGTCGGCCTACCGAGGGCAGGAGCTCATATGACCAAGTGGGTCGGCCTGCGTTGAGCAGGGGCGGCTTGTGACCCATGCCAGTTTAATAGTAGTGCGCCGGTGGCCAATTACGGAGGAGTGCCCATGCCGACATTCCCATTAGGGACAAATGAGATAGCGGGTGAGACAACCAATATAGATGGTATGTACGTATTACGAGAGTGAGACGTGTGTATGATAATCAGGAGTGAAGACTGTCTAGACAGCGATGTACAAGAGCATTGTACTAGAGGCATAAGGAAAGACTGTTACTGTGGAGTAGGATCGACAGAGAAAGTTATCAGAATCCTAGGTGAATGTCTTACTTGGAAGTTGGGCTACTGACCTTGAACTATTCAGTGATTGGCTGGACCAAGATGTCAGACCGTTCCACAGCTGCGGGAGCGAAGGTCCTGGAGGCTTCCATCTTGTTCAGGGACTGGTGCCAGGAGCTCAGGGCGTCCTCGGCTGAGGCTGAGAAGCGCAGCATTCGGCGAGATGTCATCTCGGATTTGGCCTTGTCGTGGTCATACAGGCGGCGTGAGAATGTACGGGCGGCAGGAATTGCTCGGGAAGCGAACGAGAGGTGGCCCAGGAGTGAGGCGAGTTTGCGTTTGAGAACGCAACCAATGTCGAGTGTGGTACAGACTACAGTCCATTTCAAAAAGATTAGCAATCCTGGCGATCGCCCGGGGAGTTTGCCGTCTTACCGTATGCGCGCTCGAGAGCTGGCTTGAAAAACTCACTGTGAACTCGAAGAAATAATCCGCGCGAAAGCATGAAAAATGACAGCTCACTCACGTCGATACATGTACGTCTGGTTTACAACAAACGAGTTCTTCCTCGTATCGATATGGAGTCAGAGAGGAAATGTCGGAAGTGAGGTAAACGTTGACGAGCGGGATGGGTCCCCATTCGTTTCGTGCCCACTTTCTTTGAGCTGCGATGCAATTTACTCTCGCAATGTGATGAAAACGACATCGACACAGACTCATTCCCAACGCCATGACTTGGCAAAGCTATCCGTGTGACTTCAACGACATTTTGCGAAAAGCAGACGCCTGTGAAAGCTGATAGAAGACGGTGCTGACTCCAAAATTCAAATTAATTGGCGATCTTGAAATAAGAAAGGTTTGCTCCCCACACCGGAGCTCGCGCTATTCCGCCGACTTTACTTGACACTCACGTAAAGTCGGCGGAATAGCGCGAGCTCCGGTGTGGGGAGAAAACCTTTCTTACAAATCATCGCCGAAGTCGCAACCACTACTTCGTGATCTTGAAATACTAAGATAATTCTCAAAAAGAAATTGATCGATCGATGTGCCGTTGTACTCAACA